TTTTCATTAATATCTTTAAAACAGAGGCAGCACAAATGACAATTTTAGCAGCACAAACCAGCACAGTTGATTGACACCCATTTTGTTTGATTTAATTAATGTGGGGGGGCTGGTTGACCTCTGATGACCTCTAGAAAGTTTTATTAATATCTTTAAAATGATAGTAGCACAAATGAAACTTTTTGCAGCACAAACGTTTGATACCACTTTTGTTGGATTTGAAGAAGGTGGTGGTGGGGGGGGCCAACTTCACTCACATAAGCTAAACTGGATTTTTTCCTGCTGCATCTATAGCAAAGGTTCATATGTTAATATTTATGGCATATTTTTCTTGTCATTTAAAAAAATTGTGCAATTATTTTGCTGTGCTGTAATGCGATGCAATTACGTTTAACCATTTTAACAATAAAAACCACGATGGTGTTACATTTGAAATTCATGTAGTTCTAAAAAACCAGCGTTTGATCAGCGAAGCTTCTTCAGAACGTCTTCTTGCACATCACTCTAACCTCTTAATGTTTCAACGCTTGGCTTGATACTGCTCCTCCTCTACATTCACTTTAGTGTGATGTGTGCAGTCCGTTCTGATTCTCACAGAGGTGTTACGAACCTTCATGTTCAGACTGAGGGAGGAATTCAAGTTGGCAAAACCTCATTTTTGGAATTTAAAGATTTTGTCTTTGAATTTTTAATTCCACGCGTTAAGCTTCAAAGTTCTGAACAGATGATAAAATGATATTATTCCCTTTGTTGTGAAGATGAAATGTGATTTATTTATCCCCAAAAAGTTGGTTACAGCAGCCACATCATGAAAAACAACCTAGTAAATATCACAACCCAGAGCTGAGACTTTGATCAGCTGTCTCAGTTAAAATAGGAATCAATTTATTTCTTCAGACTCAAAGTTTGCTTTGCTGATCTGTTGCTCAGCACTTTAATAGTTCTGCACCTCTTGCAATAAGTGCAGCTGTAGAGGTGATTGCTGCTGTGAACAAACGTCATGTGTTAACAGTAATGGATCCATATATTCATATGTGCATTTGCCCTTTTACTCCTCGCCTGTGTCAGACTGCAGAGGAAGCTGTGAAGATTGCACAGCAGATTGGTAAGTCATCAGTTTTTCTGTGTGCTAAAAGTTTACAGTAAACTTTAGTGATGACAGGAAGAATCTTAGTGAGTTTGTTTACTGCGGACATGATCTCCCACACACGTGTTCCTGGCCCACTCGAGCTGTTTACTCCTATTTCTGATTATTTTTTAAATGTATTTATTTATTTTTGTTGAATTGCTGTCAATCATCACATCTTCATGGAGCTGTTACCAAAAGATAACGCATGGCAATGGTGATTGTATTTATTATGTTGAAAATATCATTGTAGGAAAACTCAATGTGCTAAACACAGAAGCTAAAGATGTAAACGCTGTGCAGGTTTACGATATCTGAAGAGATGGAACAGATGAAAGCAGAGCTCACAGTGTGTGAAGATAAAGAGTC